GTATCAAATTGTGCTTGCACTTTGCTTCGACTCGACTGGAGGTTCATATTCCGATTGGCCACTTCAAAACTAAATTATCAGGCGTGTCGAGGAACAGAATGTATGTTATCTGTAACTGGTTTGCATGCTAATAATTATTAAATAAATTCGGATTCGTGATTGTTTCTTATGGTCATATAGCCAATCAGATGCAATCTTGTAAGTAAATGCAAATTCTCTAAAACACACAGCCACATTTGTAATAATAAACATACGCTCATTAAATAATGTTAATAGTTTTAATCTGTATAATCCCCGGACAAATATTTAATAATGCACACACCATTTATTTATAGAAACCTTAACTTTTGTGAAGTAAACTTTAACAACAATGTCATGTCATTTTATTTCAATTTCTATAAAGCGAATAACAAATCTGTATCGCGTTTTTGTTGTTGCAAATCGTGTAAACATTTTCAGTTCTGTTTATCGTACTCGAAAGACATGTAGTGTGGTTCTATGGCGTAGCGAAAATCTCTACCTCACAAAGACACAACTCTTTAACAACATCCTTCAACTGCAGGCTGACGTATCGTCCCGTGATGTATTCCGAACAACCGCAAGGTATGTTGATCGTTTCGAACAAGACTTCGTCCTTAGACATTCGAGTCCCACAGATAGGATTCTCATCCATGACCTCACTATCGCCGACATGAACTTCTACATTTGCAAGTTTGAAAGCTGTGAAGGACAAAGAAAAGTACAATTATAACACAAGAACGGAAAGTCAAACAATTCACTGATCAAAACAGGCGGGCAATAGCAAATACCATGGTTACATAAAATCAGGGGAACAGTAAACGCGATTCACCGTGATGTAGAGAATGTAATACTATTTAATCAAAAAAACGAATGGTTCTTTCACTCGTAGCTAAATTTAGGCTTATAATGTGATTTCGATTCAACATTTTGGATGTCCGATATACCTTTCATATAATATAAAAAACGAGTCTGATATATTAGATTAAATAAGCTATATACTATATTAGTGATGTTAAAATTCATCCGCTGATTAATTTCTGGCCAGCTAAACCGTGTGTTTTATATTACTTTGATACAAAGTAAACAGATAGATAACCACATAATCGAATTTTTGAACATAATTTCGGCTATATCAGGTCAGACTCTGAAAATCCCAATGTATAAGCGATTCAACCCATTGAGGTGTAACACGATGCGGCACGGTGTACTGAGCAAACTGAGCATGTGCACAAATTTCTTACTGGTATTATACGGACCAATCAGACCTAATATAACATTGTTTTTAGTTTGTGATCAAAACTGTTGAAAATTTGTGTCAACAATTTGTGTAAAAATGTGCAGACTATAACTATTTTGTGTAAAAATGGGCAGACTATAACTATTTTGTGTAAAAATGGGCAGACTATAACTATTTTGTGTAAAAATGGGCAGACTATAACTATTTTGTGTAAAAATGGGCAGACTATAACTATTTTGTGGATGGTGACTCAAAAGATTATTGCATGCTGGGTGCTCGCTTGGCACAACTTCCGGTCCGCGTACGGAGTATGTGTTTTGTCAATGTTGAATTATATCGTACGACGTTTGCCCGCCCACTCTCATAATTGCAACTTACA